GAGGGCAGTGTCACTGGCCCTCATATGTGGGATCCGAACCAGGGCCCTCTGGGGTCCCAAGTCAGCTCTAGCCAACGTGCCACTCAGCCGGCCCTAAAAAACCACAATTTTTAATAAAGTATCTTGATTTAATACCTTTTGAAAATCATAGCTTATGTTCTCTGACACAAGACCTTGGATGATTAGGTTTTTCAAGTTTCCATTTACAAATGACTCCTCATTTTTTATATTATGTTGTTAGAGTCCTTGTGAAAATGTTTATTGAATACAAGCTTATTTTTTCCTCATGCTCCCTTCATTTTAGAAACATGTTCAACATCAGACCTAGAAATTCCAAATGGATTTGTTTCTGAATCTGAGCCTACATATCCCTTATATAAACAAGTACAATATAAGTGCAAACAAGGATATGTGACAGCAGATGGTGAAACCACAGGGTTGATTACATGTCAGCAACATGGATGGTCCGCTCAGCCCACGTGCATTAGTAAGTCATTCACGATGTTTTGTTTATTATCCTGGTGACGGCTCTACAGAAGTTTCCTTGATATGAATTCTTTAGGGGACTGGGGGAATGGGCTGAGGTGGTTCCATTTGAGGAGATACAGAATGTTGAGAAGGTATATGTATGTTTTTTCCCTGTTAAGGTTAATTGCTAGTAGGATAGAAAGTCAGTCCATCTTTCAGTTTAAGCTCTTTCCACTGTAGAGCACCCTGTGACTTAGAAACTAGTTAGGAGCCTTTTTTGGCTTTCGGTGTAAACTCATTTATTTTTAGCTGAGACCTTTTGCCTGCTGTCCCTGTTTTTAGGAGATTGGACTTTTATATCAGAGTGTTTGTTCCTAGACATAAAAGTTATGTTTTGCAGGGAAGGCATGGGTTCACAGGGCCACATGCAGGAATAATGTCACCTGTGTAATTGATATGCTGGAATAATGTCACCTGTGCAATTCATATGTTTGATACTGAAGGCTGGGTGCTCTTCTGGAAACTCATTTCCTCTAGAAAACCTACACAGACACCCCGTTAGCGGGACAGAGAAGCGCTTCCAGACAGAGCAGATCGCGCTGTGCTGAGCCAGGTTCCCATCTCACAGATTCAAATTGTTGGACCAGACGCATCTCAGTGCTACCTCTTTGGATGGTCCCCTCATCCTCCAACATGGAAAAGTGAATATTTATCTNATTATGCTAAGTGAAATAAGTCAGTCAGAGAAAGACAAATGCCATAAGAATCCAGTGATTTCTGTGCAGATCTGTTGAGCTCTATGTTTCATTGCATACTGTTCTCCTCGGATTCTTGAAGTTCAACTTCTAGTGATGTCCACGACTGTGAGGTCACTGACTTTGGTGTATTTTATTCAGTATGATTGACATACCCTGGTATGAAAGGATTTTCACTTCCGGTGTGTAGTCTGGGAACTCCCCCCCAAACAAAGTCACATTGCAGACAGAGCTCACATTTGCCTCTATCTGTCCAGAATTTTTGTTAGGCCCTGAGTGTTTCCTCAAGGTTCACAAGGTTATTTTCACATATTTACTTCAGTTTCCTCATTGTTTATGGCTGGAACTTTTCTGTTTCTCCACTCTTCCTGCCTGGTATTTATCAATTCGGAAAATTTCTTTAGTCAGCCACCTTTTAACTACATACATTGAAATTTTCTATTTCAATTCTACTCATACTTTTATTTTTTGACATTTGATTCTTTCAGCTTTAATTGGGTTAATTTACCAATAGGAATTGCATATGTTTAATGTATACAGCTTGGTATTTTGATATGTGTATACATTGCGAAATGATTACCACAATCAAGCTAATCACGATGTCTGTCACTTCACATACTTAACTTTTTTTTTTTCTTGTGGTGAGAACACATAAGATCTAGCCTCAGAATCTTTAAAGCAAAACTCAGGAAAGCACCCATTGCTAGGAGAGCTCTAGCAAGCTGGAGGATTCCAGATCAATTAGACACACAGATTTCCAGTAATTTCTTAGAAGAGATTCTGAGTATTTTAAATCTTGATTTTTTCTAAAAAAAAACATTTTTTTAAAAAGATTTTTATTGGGGAATTGGGGGAAGGGGAACAGACAAGTTGCTGCCTTTTTGTTCTTCAGTCTAGTTGTAGACGATGTTGCTTCACTGGCCCAAGTTGGCACCATCATTGTGCTCCTCCCGGGTGAGGCAGATCAGTCACTGGCTTCAGGAGGGCCTCCCTCGGCGGCTGCTGGCCGCTCACGCTGGCTGCTGGCTACACACGATAGCCCATGGCAACCCACTGCCACAGGGGCTGCAGCCTACGGCGTCGCCGGCGACTCACAGCAGCCCAGCTCCAGGTTGAGCT